AAACTATTTTTCCTTTTTTACTTGTCCCTGCTAGCTATTTATGTTGTTTACAATATTAATCTTTTTATTAAATCTTTATCATTGTGAAATATTAGTAGCTGGAGTTGCTCAAATAAAAACCACACGGCATACTCTTGAACTCCTAGATGACAGTTCCATTGATGGAGTTCATGTGAATGATTTACGCTTTTCTTTTCCTAACTCTTTGCATGGAGATACTTGTGAAAGCCCAATATCACAAAGTCTGCCAAATTATGTTAGTGATTCAGATGATGGGAATGGTATATTTGAATCACCAAAACTGCCAAGTTATGTTAGTGATTCAGATGATGAGAATGGTATATTTACTTGATACCATCAATCATTTTCCCACTTTATAATTTTAGAACATTGTTGAACTGGTTTTTATATTGATGGTTTGTTTGCAGGCAATTAAATGTGTAGGTGATTTGATGGTCTGTCTATTACCATGAGGTGAGGTTAGTGCGATTCATACTTTTTGTTGAATTTATATTTGGTAGTATATATTTCTATGTTTTAATATGGAGTTAATAAATTTTTTTGTGAACTTGCATAAGTTAGAGATGTAAAACATGTTTTATCATTCTAAATACTAAAAAGGTAGCAATTCATAAAAGCAATCAAAAGACTCTTCTTTGTGCATTTTTAGTAGTTTTATCTTTCCAATTTTAGTTAGTTATGCTTGCCTTTTTTGTGTATTTATTATTGTCCACCCACATAGCAGTTGGTGTTTAAATTTTTTATTAACATATCATATAATCTTCATGGTGACCATTCAGGTGCATTTTCAAAGGCCTCAGCCTCTCTCACATCGTTTAACATTCTATTCAATTAAGCTTCTTCTTTTTCTTTTTTTTTTTATGGAGCATTTGGAAGAAGATGGGGAGTAACTGATGTAGATAGGGAAGGAAATTCTGAATATAAAGGAATATTAAATTGTCAGTAATATATATCTACTATATATCAGGATTTATATCGTTCAATAAAGATAAGCTTCTTTGTCTTTGTGATGAACTTACCCTTGTTGATTGCCAAAGTATATTCCCAAACCATGCCTCTCACCTGCTGAGTTTTGTTATGCTATTATATCTGCCACAGATTCTTCAACTTATTATATTGCATGTCAGTGGGTTTTGTATTTTACTTTTTTGCTTAATTTCTCTTGTTGCTAGGTGGCTGTCAACATTTTCAAGAACTTGTCACTTAAAGCACAAGTTCTTTGGCTAACTGTCCAATTGTGACGGTACTTATTGAATTGTCCTTGGCCATCTCCATGTACGTGCATAAAGATTAAAGACATTGTTGCATACAAACACACACATAGGACAAAGCCTTTATGCTTTGAACATTGAGATGGTTCTGGTTGCAGTTATTAGTGTTGAACTTATTGGTGATGGTGGAAATGTGTTAGTAAAACTAGAATACTAGATGAAGTTAATCTGTTCTTTAATCCTTTTAATTTTAATTATTGGTGGTTCTGATAATTAATTACTAAGGATGGCTTTGATTGTGAAGCAATGCTTGATTGATTGCTTCAACTCTTTTGTATGTTTTCTGATATATCCTTGTCAATGTTTTAATGGTAAACTTGGCCCATGACCATGTGCAGCATCCTTAGGTTCTAAGGTTTGGAATGCCATTAATGTTTACCGCCAGTATGTATTTATACTTTTTTGGCTGATTCTTTGAAGTTTGTTGTTCTACAGTGCTATAATGGGCATACACTCTGTTCAGTTAAGCTTATTTTTTATGTTGTAATGTATGTCGATGGGATTAGAAGATTCCAACCGCTTTATTGGAGTGCTTCTTGTAATGTGTTAACATTATAATGTTTTTAGCTATTTTATTAATTCAATGCTCGGGATTTTCAATTTCTTAGTGGAGCCTATGGATAGGTTTTAGTTCTTTCTATTTAGGGGCACTCAACTTCGGTTGTATTCCTTTAGAATGTTTTTAAAACTTCACTTATTAGCTATTGTTGCAATTGCCAATTTAAGAGACATATTTTGGTTTCATTTTATTTTTTAGGTGATGATGGACGAGCTTCAAATGAAATGCTTTATTGGAGCTCAGTGGCTATACTAATGGTCTCAGTGTTTACTATAGAAGATTCAATTATTTTGATTTTGTTTGTCTTCTAAGTGAAACATTTGACCTATTACTCAATCGAATTCAGTTATTATACTATTGGCCATTGGACTCTTGCTTGTCAAAGAAATGACTTTCATTTACATTTTTGGAGGTTAATTTTAGTGGGTTTTTTTTTCTTCATAACATAAAGTTGATTTATGATGTTTGTAGCATTAGTGCTAATAAAATAAAGTATATGAAATATATAGTGATGACATGAATTTTTATATAAATTTTTTTTAAAATTTTTATATAGTTTTTATAATTATATGTGCACGTAATAAAATATTCTTCATTGTTCATGACTTTGTAGTCTATGCTAAAAGAAATCTTTAACGAAAGAAATGAAAATTATAAGAATTCAATTGCTAAATCTAAAAAGGTTGAGAGATGAAATAGAAAATTTTAA